GGGCTGTGTTGTGTGTCCAGGCTGCAGTGTGACAGGGCTGTGTTGTGTGCAGAACCAGCAGCAGCAGCAGCAGACGGGCCCCCAGCCTCAGGCCCAGCCTCAGGCCCAGCAGCAGCAGGCAGTGCCGCAGCAGGCCCCCTCACAGCAGAGCGGCGCCCAGACCAACGGCACGGCGGGGGCCGGCGGGGGGGGCGCCGGGGGCGGCGGGCTGCAGCACAGCCAGGACCAGGGACCCCCCAACAAGAAGCCGCGGCTCGGGCCGTCTGGGGCGAGCTCCGGCGCGGGCGTCATGCAGTCCGAGTACCAGGTGAGATCCCCAGGCCTCTCCTTAGTGTGTAATAATAACAAACTCTATTTTATATAGCGCCTTTAAGGGCGGCTTCTCAAAGCGCTTTACAGAACAACAACAACAACAATAAATAAATAAAAAGAATACACAACATAAAACCCAATTCCAAAACACAGAGGAGACCGTGGATGGTGGTAGTAAGCGAAGTAGGAGCAGAGGGGTAGAGAATGGAGCCAGTGAAGTAGAGGTGTACTGTAGCTGCCAGGAGAACCTGCAAAACTGCAGCAGCTAGATCCGTAAGGAAAGAGAAGACAGAATGCACACCCATAACTCCCAGAGGTGCAGCCCGGAGACAGCTGGAAGTGCGCTCTGTACTCCTTAATACACTTGCTGTCAGCGGTTCTGCACGACAGCCTCCCTCGGCTCACACACGTTGGGCTTCCTGGAGATCCACTGGACTATAGGAAGGCTGCCCAGCCACCCACCTTCCCCACGAAAGGAGACCTAGGCTTTGTTTTAAATTAGAAGGGCTGTTAGGTGAATAAACAGACCCGCTTGATCATATACACTACATTCGAGATTCATATACCAAGACCAACACGTATGCAAACACCACCAATGCACACACGCATGCTCAGAAATAAAATATCCTCTTAGAATTGGTTCTCACAGCTTTTCACCTTTCACATCAATCAGCTCGTTAGGTGTCGACACTAATTCCGTGGTCATTGAATCCGGTTTTAATGGGTTGAAATAGGCAACCCAGAATGGCACAGTCTCCTTATTTCTCAAGGCGGTCCTTGGCCCTCTCCTCGAGATGTGGACTTCTTCAGTGTCAGTCGTGTGCTGCACTTGACTGACATGAGGGGCTAAGCGATACGTCCAATTCCGACTCCTAATGGAGCTGCTGTGCGCAGAAATTCTTTAACGTGCCCTTTGATTGGACCATTATAGGGTTTGTCACGGGACAAGTGATCATATAGATCACAGCGAGGTCTCTTTCTTTTGACACCTAATGTTTCCCTGCCAATATTGGGGTGATGGAATTAGTGGGGTACCAAAGGGATCTGTACTAGGACCACTGCTTTTTTAAATCTGTGTCGATGATCTAGACTGTGGTTTAGCTGGGAAACTGCCCACTTTTGCAGATTAGGAAGATTAGTTCCTACTTTTTGAAGCGGCAAATGAAATTCAAAGACATTTAGGTCCAATGTAGACATGTTCCAGCAGCAAAAGCAGGCAAATGGCAAAATTATGAATGATCCATGCCGATTGGGAGACACTGAGCTAGAGTCCACAATTGAAATAGATTTAGTCTTTTTTTATGTTGACACATCATTTATATCTTCTAGACAAGATTTGAAAAAAGGCAAACAAAATACTAGGATAATTAGTTAAAAGCATAGAATAATGTTGTGTTAGAACTGTATGATGCACTAGTCAGGCCTGATTTAGCACATTGTGTACAGTTTTAGTCACCACACTATAAAAGAGATGCTGCTGCTCTGAAGTCAGTCCAGAGACGTGCCGAAAGGTCAGTGCTGGGGCTTAAGGGAGTGTCCTGCACTACCAGACCCTGACTGCTTTCCAGAAATGTCTAGATTAGATCCCTGGCCTCCTCTTGTTTGCAAAACGTTCTTATGTACCAACTTCTTTCAGCAGTTCGATGACAATAATACTAAGAAAAGAACGCTTTAAAACTGGAAATGTAATTACCTTCCGTTCAATTTATTTGTTCAAAACTTTTTTTCTCAGATTTTCTGTTTCTGTTCTGTCATACAGTTTAGAAAACGGTGTAATGCGTGTTCTTAAGCTCGATACCGCAAATGTGGTATTTCCGCTCAATCGTGATTTTAAAGCACATTATTATATGCAAAAGAGGCCATTCAGCATTCCACTCAGTTTAGCAGATTGCTATGCGGTCGTTCAGGCTGGAGTTGTGTTATTTTGTCCCGGTGAAGTATGAGACCTCCCTCAGCGCGAGGAGAAAGGGTTTTTGGCACTAGTATGAGGTGTGCTCTGTGCAGACTAGTCAATGTAGGCCAGTGTCAGAAAACTACTACTGATTTGGCACAATCTGCTTAATGCTAATATTTTGTTTATCACATCTGAGAAAATCACATCCTCCCCAAGTATTGCTTCTTTGAGGTTCTGAAATAATATTTCAGTATTAACTAGGGCTTTCAGCTCAGAAACATTCGTCATCCTCTTGGGCATTAATGCTCGTTGACAAATGGATTAGTGGCAGTATCAACAGGAATATATTTTCTTTATGGAACACAATACGAAGGTTGAGATTAAAAGTGCTGTCACATATCCTACCTCTTAAAACAACTGCGAGGCATTTGATCAGCTGTTTTGCATGTTCTCTGTTGACCTGTTACATGTTCCTCTTTTCCAGTATTCCTATCGCTGTCTGGTGACAGTGCTCACTTCTGTCACCCTGCCTTGGGGGGGTTTGTTACGCCTGATGAGAGATAAACAGTGATGTTCCACATCAGCCCTGTCAGTTGATTGTAGTTCTTCAAAAACTCTATATCAGTCTTTACATTGAAGTCATGCGAGCGAGTCAGAAACAGGAATGTCCTGTTCTTTACTGTATGTGTTGGATTTATTTTCGCTCTACTTAATGATGCATTAAACATTGTACAGTTCCATCTAATGGAAAACATTTCTTTGTAGATTTCATTTTTTTATGTAAACTTTTAAAACATCGTCTATTGAGTACTGTACTGTTTAAACGAGTTATTCAGTAGTGGTTCATCACCTGACTTTTGAATTTGGAAAGTAGCTGACTCTTTCACTACAGTTCAGAATATTCCCGTTTTGCCTGAAGCTTTCTCTCCCTTCCACAAAAGGGCTTTGTTAAACAGCTGTTCATTGAGATATATACTTTCTAATGTTCTAATGTAATGAATGTTTGCCGTAATCAAAGAATTGCATTTCAAAAGAATGTAATTTGCAAAGTCGTCTCGGGAATAAGTGCTCAAAGACAAACCAACCATTTTCTTTAATGTAATCTTTTCTGTCACAAACATATAGGTTGCTCAAATAATGTTTTCTCCTGACATTGTAAATGTGTATTTAATAAGTTGGAATTGCCAATATGTTTGGTTTTGTACATACTGTCCCTAAAAGTACTTTGTATACATTTACATTTTCTGTTCGTAACAGGAGAAGTACAATCCAGGAGGAAAAGAGTTCTTAAAGACACATTGACTTTATTTTAGTTAATTTTTCAAGTCCTGTTTGTTTAAATGAAAGCAAAGCATTTGTTGTTGGAGAACATTCCAGATCACTGTGTCTTCAACACCGCCTTCTCTCATGAGGAACTGCTGTGTCCTAAACAATCTGCTATTTTTTGTAGATTTCGCCAACAGCCACTGTGGCTGTTTCTTTTATTGAGTTCACGACTTAAGCGTCTTAACAAAAAAAGATTTAACCTCTGGATTAGGAACAGCACAAACACAAGAAACATTGTTCGCAAATGAGATGTGGCCATTCTGTGTTCTAGCAAGAAATGTCACATATGTAGCTGGGTAGCTTATTCCAGAATCCCACTTTTTGTAAACCTTAGTGCCTCCTGTCCTGTGTTTTTCAATGCACTTCTCCTTCTCTGGTTTGTGTTCAAAGCTGTAACAATTTAAGTCTTGTAGCCTGTCGGTGTAGGACATTCCTTTGAGCGCTGGAAGGTGCCTATTTGCTCTTGCCTGGCCGGATTCCAGAGCAGACAAATCCTTTCTGTCTCGTGGTGCCCAGCGCCGTGCACAGTCAACAGAAGCCCTCGCGTCTTTCCCCTTTCATTCTTGCTCTTTGTTTTTGCTTCCTTAATGCAATACCTTGTACTTGTCTACAGGCAGTGTCATCTTTCAGGTGTTTTCACTACAGAGCTCCACCTGTGTCTCAAGGGCGTCGAACATATTTCTACGGCTCTGCTCATAGCCCTGCGAGAGCTCTCTGGGGTCTGCAGACTGTGCTTTTCCTCCACTGGAGATATGTTAAGTGCGATTTCGGTCGTTCCTACAGAACAGTAGTTCCTGCAGTAGTGACAGTAATGCATTGACTGGGATGCGCATAAAGAAAATGGAAGTTTGTCTCCCTCTTCAGTAGTGTATAAAGCACCCGACTGTGTTCATTGTGTCCTGTGGAAACACAGACAGCAGTGACAGTATTATATCACTCTGTGGTACTCAGGGGTCAGCGCTGCAGAGCAGAGTGTCAGTTTTGTCACTGTGTTCTGGCCCTGACAGACTCGCCCTAACAGAACAGAGGAGATTACGCACGACACGATCACCAGGGGAGCACCTAGACAGGATTTCCCAGAGTACGATTAATCTCTTCTGAACCTGCTTAGAAAGCGTTCAGGAGGTTGAGATGTGTCACCTTGCAGCACACAGCTCTATATTTAGAAAGGACTGAGCCTGCACATGGACAGCTGTGGCAATCCAAGTCACCGCTCAGCAGAGGTATAAATATCCACGCAGTGTGCGAGCCCGCACAGGGCTGTACGGACCCGCCAGCTCTCCGCATTGTAGCCCCGCACTTGTAGGCTTTTGTCTTCAGACGATGCCTTCTCTGCTTGACTTTTACTTGGCTCTCCCTTGGGATGGGCTGACTCTCACTGAGGTCAATCAGCGGGGAGCTTGATCTGTAACAGTCCCGAACACCAGGTACCGCTGGAGCTTCTGAAAATGTCCGCTGTGTGGTCATGTGTGTAGAATTCCCATATGTGTTCTTCCAGCCCAGCGTTTTTCAATCCCACGATGAGATTTCTTTGTCAACACCGGGCTTTCAACAACGACAATAATAATAATGAATGATCTCACAGTGTTACATGTGATGACATCGCAGGGATTTGGAAGAGAATATTGCCATCAAGTGGCTCACAATTTATTGTGCATTCGTAACCTGTTCTCGAGTCGTGTGACTCACACTCCCTCTGAGCCGTGTGGTAATTAACGATCATCTGCGCAAGGACCTTCAATGTGAAGCTCCAAGGACAAGAAGAATAATGTCGACACTTAGGGAGACACTGACCGTTCTATACAAACTTAAATCAACACAGCCCCTGACACCTGTGTTACACTCCCATTTCTTCACTCTGTCGCTCACCGGCATGGAATTAAGAGGCTTGAAGCCATTTCTACACATATTTTATTTTTTTATTCAATGACTTGCTTCCTGTCTCTTTCTCTCGTCACGCTAAGTGCACATGTGCAGCAGATGTGTTTCCTTTTTCTGTTTTTCAGTCCAGATTGTTTTTCATGTTTAGAAATTGATTGGCCAGCAATTTTCACGTCATTTGACCCACTGCCTGCTTCTTAAAAGAAAGTCTTGCTTTTTAAAAATCACTTTGCATGAAAGCTGCTGTAACTCAGTTAATCGGAAACTTTAGATGACTAAACTTTACAATTCGAGCTTGGGATGACAGCTAACATACAGTAAGGGACTTGTGGCAAGGTGAGCTACCCACTGCTGCTGTTGATCTTTCTTCCTTCTCCCTGCAGCACTCCAGCTCACGACTGGGTTACCAAAGCAACGTCCAGGGTTCTGCTCAGTCGCAGGGCACTATGGGATACTCCTCCTCGTCTCAGCAGAGCTCCCAGTACCCTCACCAGTCTCACCGGTACTGAGGCGCTTCCACGAAGAGAAGCAGAATGGAAACAAAAAAGGAACCAAAAAGACTGACCGTTTATTCTAGGCCTCTGGTGACGAAGAGCACCAGGAATTGTTTCATTTTGTTCCCAATGTTACCTTGCCTTTTTTTTTACAGTACAAACAAACTAAGAAAAAAAAACAAGGACTTTTTTTGTGATACTATTAAATAGACTTGTCTGTCTAAACCCTGCCATACAGACGATGCTGGGGTTGAACCATAGTGCTTAAAGTACAACAGTTCTTCTCGAAGAGGAATTGCAGACCTGTTAATTTCTATACAGCACCTTTTCTATGTGTTTTAACAAGAGCCCCGTTTTGTTTGCTGCTCCGTAGAGTTTTAAGTTTACTTTCGAGCTCTCTTGTTTTGTAAATATTTTTATATACAGGACTGGGGGGGATGAGCGCGCGGGAGAATGCCCTTATCCCCCCCACGCCCCCCCCCACAGACTCTGATCTCGGATCTTGATGTCCTGAACAGGAACAAACCTTTCTTCAGCAGCTGCAGCTGCAGTCAGCTTTTTAAAACCTAGCTCGCTTAGGAGGAGCAGCAGCTGAGCAGCCTGCATGTCCTTGCAGGGAATATCGAAATATACAGTATGTATACATTTATGCTCATAATGTTTTGGGTTTTTTTTAATATGGAGCCAGGCAGCCTGTATTTATACAAATGTGCACTACTGGATATGCTGACAGAATCCTCCCCTCCCTCCTGCCTTCCGAGGAGAGTGAACAGAGAAGACTGCTGTCGCACGATCGTGCTTGGCAATAAAGCAGAAGGTGCTCCCGTTCCGCTACAGGTGGGATTCCTCTCTGCTTCCTGGACATCCGCACAGCTCGACACAGGGGTCCTTTCCAGACCAGCGCTAGAAGAGAGATGGCACATTTCGGTCCCTGAATTCATTGAGACGGGGGAGTGACCCTCACGATCCTCAGCCTATCACTGCACTCACCTAGGAGACTTTTTATTTTTTACTTGGGATTTTTATGAAGCATTGTTTTTATATCTTGCAGCACTTGTTTTCTTTTTTCTTCTTGTGAAGAACATTTTTGTAAAGAGCAGTCACTGATGGGCTGTTCTCTCTCTCTTTTTCTTTTTTTACACTAAGAGCTGTCAGGCTGTGTTGCTCAGCTGCCCCATGATGGTATTCTTGGAGTTATGATTTAGGATTTTGTGGAAACAGCAGCCCTTTGCAGTGGGAATTAGGAAACGGGGGAAGCTGGTTGCGTCTGTTGTCGAGACCATTACCTCATGCTGATTAATTTTGTAAAAGTACCGTTTGGCAGTGGTGTTGTCAGCATGGCCTGTGAAAGGTTCAGGGACAGAGAGAGAGAGTGGGATATTCTAAAACACTTGGGTGAAGACCCAGATAGCGTGGCCCTACACACACCAGATGGATGGAGCACTGAGTATTTCATTGAGCGGCATGCCAGACAATGTTTTATTATTGTTGTTGTTGTTACTCACTTTGGTGGTATCTGTCCTGTGAAAATAAGAGACCGGAGCTACATTGCTGGCCTCCAACAGAGACTAATGTGAAGATGCGGATAATGATGCACACCGAAACACCAGTTGCCAAGAATGGGGTCTGAATCTCAGAGGCCGGTATAAGGCGATGCCACATCGCCCTCTAATGGTCAGAGAGGGAATTGAGATCCTTTCCCACACCTCGTTAAGATCTCGTGAAACCTCCTGGAGTGGTGGTGTCACCAAGAAAAGTGACCCGGAGTGTTTTTTTAAGCAGCAGATACCAGTCGTCCCTTTGATCTCTTTTCCCTTCTGTTCTTTTACCCACATAACTGTGTGAGGATCCAAAAAAATCATGTAGTCCTGTCTTGTCAGCATCAGGGAGCTTACTGGTAAGGCGTAGTTGTACACACTATCAGTACTGCCACTGCTGCTCAGACATTGGAGAGTCTGTAGCGTTCGTACATGGAAACAGTTTCTGACCTTGTCATGGTCAAGTAGCAATACAAACTTGGATTTTTGCAGGAACTCCACAGTCAGGAGCCTTGTTGTTGACCGTTCGTTGACAACATGAACCACCTGAAAACAATTTTCATGACGTCTGATGAAACGACTGCCTTTCTCCCAGTTTTCTCCCTTCTGTGAATCACCATAGACTGACAGATAAAAGAGCTGTTGTAACCCAGAACTTGGCAGCCCTCCTTGCTGGGTGCCATGAGGTGAAAGTCAGATGTGTAAAAGGCACTGCTCCTTTTTTAAACACATTTCTTAGGACTGATCCAGCCTTTTTGTATATCTGTTTTTTTACAAAAATTGGTTACATGTTGGGGTTTTTTTTTACGGAACTGTTTTAATTTTTGTTTTAGTCCCCCAAAAATTGCTGAGTATGACCGTTGTGATATACAGACTTCAAGAATTGTGGTATACAATGTAACACATAGCAGCAGCAGCTTTTTCTTAAAGGAAGATGTATAAATGACCCTTTTTGACACAGTGTTAAGGTGTTTCCTGAAAACCTTAGTGGTAGCCACATAATGTACTACTCTAAAGCAGTAGATACCATACTAAAGCTCATGATATTGTGTTGATTTTATCTCAGAAGTGTGTTGCAACTGTACTCATCCTCTGTTTCAATGGCAGGGCATTAATGCGAGTCTGTTGTTCCTATGCAAATGTATATCTACCCGAAACAGATTGGAAATATCATCGTCATTTCACTTGCAGAATCAGTCAGTACTGTTTTAGATTCCCGCTACTCCTTGAAAATCTTATGTTTTACTTTCCGTTTTTGGCTTTGGTCTCCAGCAGTCCAGTTTCGGAATCAGTACTGTCTTTTCCAGAGGTTGCTTTGCCTTTTTGTCAGAATCTCCCGTCCGTATCATAACACAAGTGAGGATCCCAGACTGAATTAGAAAGGTCCCGACCGGAGGCCTTTGAATTTCGGGATTCAAAACAAGACCTGTGCTGTACTGTAAAAGTAAGTGGAGGTTCCTACGTTTCCACTGATGTGTGACGGGAAACACCCTGCATTCTGGCGTGCTACTCTTACAGTGACGACGCACTTCTGCAGAAGGGAGTACTGTATATAGCAAATAGCAGAATGGAGCCTGGGGTATACATACTGTAGGCTTTGGAAACCAGTTACAGCAACTGGTCTAATTGGATTCTGACTGGAGTGAAAGGAAAACACATGATGAAGAGGAGGGTGTGCTTCTGTTTGGGATGATGTTTAAATGCTTTAGGGTAGTAATGCCTCCTGTGCAGCAGTGTTATTTTCTGTGCACGTGTGTTATTCTAAAACAGCTGTTGTCGGTAGGGAGCTCTTCAGCGGTTTTGTTCTGGCTTCTTCAGTTTTTCTTTTTTTTTTTACTGAAGTGATGCACTTCAGTACGTGGACAGTGCCTTTTGGAGTCTGGGTATTAACCTCGGCGTCACAGTCCAGTTCTAACCTCAGTTTTGCCTTCTTGAAGAGGTTTGTCCATTTCCCCAGCTTGTGTCTTTGCCGAATTTGATTTATTTGCAGCAAAATGTGACGGTCGCTAGATAGAGTGCTCTTAAATGAATTTCTGTCTCATTAAACAGAATATTGTGGAAAGACGGTTTAGTGAATGAAATGCTTTTCTGTTCTAAGGAATATTAACTATCATCATTTAAATGAATTTGAAATATTGTACATAAGACCACATTTTAAGAGTTCTTCATTATCATGGAATAGAAAAATGTATTTGCTATGGTAATTGTCCTTAATGCACTGTTATTGCCGAACTATTTAGTGGTAAATTAATACTATTTAATATGTTTTGTTTGTTTTTGTTTTTTAATGTCTTGTTTAGACACTAAAAAATGACAAAAGAAATAAGGACAGAGAATGTCCATTTTAACAATCATGTATGAGAGTTTTTTTATATAGTATATATAAACAATAGTGCACTTCTAAAACTGCACCTGTTCACATTGCCCCTTGTTAATGTGTGTTGCATGTGCTTGTCTTTTTCAGTCCAAACCTTTCAGCACTTAAGTCACTCATTCAGTTATGTGTATATATATGCCAATACATTCACAGAGACTGGACATAAGTAAATAGATGCCCAAGTTTGGAAGGAATACACGTTGTCTCATGATACAATACAGTGTCTGCTGCCATTAGGCAGCCCTGTGCTCTGTTTCTTAGTTGTCTCAGTTTCTTTCAGTGTTTATGTTGAATTTGAATGTAGGAAAGAAACTGGCTATGCTGTCAACCAGACACAAGACCAATCCTCAGTTGTGTCTCAGAAGCAGAAGCCTTTCCTGCGCAAAGTCTGGGTTTCACCAAGTGTTAACCCCCAGAGCACTTCAGAATAAAAATCCATATCAACTTTCACCCCCCCAAAGACTCAAAATGGCCTACTTAATGCAAATAAAGCAAAGAAATTTGGGTAAAGGTGTAAAAAAGGCTTTTCTTTCCAGATCTGGGTGCCTGTTTCCTTACATCTGTTTTCTGTGTGTGTCTATACTCGGACCTTATTTAGAATATCTGCTGTGATTCCATAGCTTTTTCAACTAAGGCAATATGAGAATAGCACAGTGCAGGAAAAATAAAAAATAAAAAATACTAGTACAGCTGCTTTTAGCAAAGTTGTCTTAATTTCACTGTAAAAATGACTGTTAAATGAGAAAAAAGTCATGTATATTTATTTTATATTCTCTATTGTAATAAAATTTCTTTTGCTTCAGATGTGATGTTTTGTGGTTGTTTTATTTGATAATTCCCTCACTGTTTGCAGGTTTAACTGAAATAAAATAACATGCTGCATTTTTGGTTGTTTTCTACCAGTTTAATTTGTAAGGCATTTAATTCTTTTGTCCCCCAAAATCCCATTATTACTGATAATGGTTTGCAAACAAGCACACGAAGCCATGATGAATGTAAGATGGCTGTTAAAATGCATTTTAAAGATTTAAACAAACTTTGGTCAGGCTTGAATTAGTGAATGTGAAAGGGGTTCCCATGCAGTAGTGTTCAATACGGTGTGTATTAAATCTCCAACCTTGAAGGAGACATCTTCGGCTAAGCTCTCCATTGCAAAACAGCTTAAGAATTTGCTTTGATCATTCCTGCGGAGCCCAATTGAAGCACAAATGCTGCATGGATATGTCCACATTGATTTCTTTGTAAGAGAACAAGCAGCTTGTGTGTTGGGAGAAATCCCATCTATCTTCTCACAGCTTTTTCCAGTTCAGGGACATGGGGGCGCTAGAGTCTATCCCAGCAGGCAACAGGCCCAAGGCAGGAGACACCAGTCCATCACGGAGCACACACACCAGAGCCAGTTTCCCCACACGCCAATCAACCTCCCAGCATGGGCTGTAGGGGGAGACTGGAGCAGCTGGAGGAAACCCATGCGAACACAGGGAGAACATACACACTCCACACAGACAGCAGCCCAGGGCTGGAGCTGAACCCAGGGCCCCAGCACTGCAAGACAGCCATGTAAACCACGGAGCACTGAATTTGGGAGGAGAGTGACTATGGGATGAAATATGGCATGGATGATGGATGGATGGTCAACTCCTGTGATCTTGATGGTCAACCTGCCTGTCAATCACACATGCTGTAAAAGCTCGAGCTGATTAATTGCTCAGTTCAGGTAAACTGCTCCTCGTGCGAAACGCTTCCTCTGCGATCGCCACACTGGGAAGATTCCCCTTCCCACCTGCACATGAAACTGCATGTCCCCATGTTTTGTTGACATATTATTAAGTTCTGAATTTGTTCAGCTTTGCCCTAAGCAGTTAGGATTCTCAGCATTGTTACTATATCAGCCCTTCTATATTTTTTTTAGGAAACAGTATTACTACACAAAAGACAAGACAAGAAATATCTGAGTTGAGACACTTTGACACAGCTGAGGTATCTCTGTGGCCTTTTTAGTATTTTTGCCAGAACAGTTTCTGTGTCTGTCCAGGCAGAGACAGTGATGTCAGGATTGTATTTGTCAGGTCATGTGTGTACATGAAGGGTCACAATCTTACAAAATGTCTTCATTAAATAGTTAAAAGTATATTCGAGTTCTGTGTTCACACTGTGTGGAATTTCATCTGCCTGACGTTTGGTAACTGAAATTAAAAACAGTTTGAGAGTCAACATGTCCACAAACACAGGAATCCAGACATTTGTGTACTGTATGTCCCTTGCAACTCATGGAAAGCAGGCTAATAAGAAAAAGAAGCACTATCCTCATTCATTTTACTTATCCACATAAAATAAATGATAAAAAGGACTTCTGTGCTAGCCCGTCACTGAGTTAAATGTGAACGTTGGAGAGCTCAGCAGAATGGATTGACACAGATGCCACCACAGCTCCACGCTGCCTCAGAGCCTCGTGCCCTGAATGAGTTATAGAGCTCGTTCACTCTTCACTGTACACACTCGGGCGGTGTCAAGAGGGATCCGCACTGAACATTTGTCTACGAGTTCCCTGGCTGAATCTTTCATTGACGGTAGGGTATACTGCAGGGTATTTCAGTGGAGTAATTCAGGTGGAGTACCTGGCTCAAGGGTACAACAGCAGTGTCTCACCTGGAATTTGAACCCACAACCTTCCAGTCACTAGTCCAGGACCCTAACAATGGCCGCGTGGACACTGCTGCCTTCTGAGTACATGGACAGAGATTCAGAAAGAATTAGGACTCTCTCCTGGTGAAGGAGCCTGACTGAGAATGTACCTTCCTAATTCTGTTGGATAAACCTGGATAAAGGTTGGATAAACCTTTTTCTCTAAAAGAGAAACCTTAAATATATTCTATCACATTTTCGACTCTCAATCTCCGAACTATCATAAGACTCTTGGGTGCTTTTAATATTAAGAAAAGAAGAATGATGATGTAAGAAATTCATCAGCTAATGTTGCGACATCATTAATGGATGCGTTCATAAACCTGATTTTACTTTAAAAATTAGGTTACGAGATCATATAACGAATTATATTTTCAACATTATATAGTAAATGTTAGGCAACACTCTTGAACTCTGTTGAAATATCATTGTGTAAGATAACATTTGTACTGTTTACATCATGTTATTATGGGCTGTTGATCATGGGTAGGTCTGGGCCTGTTTTCTGTCAAAGCGCACAGATCCGTTAGGACTGTTAGTGTGTTGCAGAAAAGGCTCTGACAAACTGAACGTGCAGATGGTTTGTGGGGCTGGGGGATGAAGTTCTGTTCAGCTGCCACTCGGATTTCCTTTTCTGGTGAGAGTAAATATTCATCCCCTACCGATTTCTCAACAGAACCTTGCTTCATGGGAAATGAATGCACTGAGTGCCGAACCTGTGGTCTGAGGATCAATGTCTTGCTCCGCCCGTGTAGTCATTTGTGGTCAGCGCTGTGCAATATACACGACTGCCGCTTGAAATGTCTGTAATTCCAGGAAGCTTCAACATCCACTTCTTGGCAGTGGGAGGTTCCGTTTCAGCTGCACCATTGTGTGTGGCAGGGCCAGTCTCTTGGGACTTGGAGGAGCGATCCTGCTGAAGAAGATTCCCTTTCCCTGCGGCTTCCCTCTTTTTCCATTCCTCTGTCTACGAGAGCCACCGCGCCGCTTCTGCAAGCCAGATGCCCAGACAGGCTTACAGGCCGCTTACGCTGAGCAACGGAGCTCTTTCTTTTTCCCCCATCAGAAAGGCTGAAAACAAGAATCAAGCTTGTTTGGTTTTTGGAAACGAATCCATCCTAGCTTTCAGCAAACTGGACTGTTTTCTGTGGAATGCTATGCGTGATGTTAATTAAGGTTCAATCTGATCTGCTTCCTGCTAACATTGATACTGTAGGACTATGATTTAATGACTTTGAGGATTTGCTAGAACCTAAGTCTGATGTCTGTTCTAGTACACGAATGAAAGCTTACTTACACCAGTTACTACACGGTAACTGCTTAGTTTGTTTTTTATTAGAAAACAGCACATGTGGGGAGGTTTCTTAAACCGTTGGACCTTGATATATTGAGTATTTTAAACAAAGTAAATATTGTTAAACCTTCTGCTTTCTTAATGCCATAATTTGTATTTTATGTGCATTTGTGTATGCTGAAGAAAGTCTCAGCCATTAATGACTCATAATCAAGACAAATGTCTCTCACTGGCCAAGTGCCTCGTCTTATCTTACATTTTTTGAAACTTTTATTTTTTCCATACGACTTTGGAAGCACTGGCGAGATGTCTGTGTGAGGAACGCAGGGGTGCCTTTCATTCACAGAAACAAGCAGTAGAGTATCCCCTGCCTGCAGCTGTGTGCCAGCTGGATCCGCAGGTTTAGAAGCTCTGCTGCCTTCACTGGCACAACCTTAGAAAAGGACACACAGCTGCAAACACTACCTCACAGTTCTACATCTTTGCCTCAAATGCAGGGCACACAGCTCCAGTCAACACATAAAGTATAAGACCACATTGCATAAATGTCTTTAGCGCCTGTCTAAGGCAGAGAGCCTTAGCTTTTCCGTTCATTTTTAAAATATTAGGAAGAAGGAATTGATTGGCAGGCCCTTCCTCATCGACTGCAGAAAGTCAGCCAGTTCCTAATCTCGTCGTCGGGATCTGTAATCAACGACTCACTAGGAACATGCTAATTTCTAATTTTGTGAGGGTTAGTCGGTATGTCTTATTGATCTGGCCAGCTGTAAAAATATTACTCCCATTTTGCACTTTATAAGCTGCAGGTTCTTCTATAGGCTGGTGCTAGGAGCTGGACATGTTGAGCTTGTGTGGGCCGACCTGACCTGTGAAATAACATCACCTTTTTCTGTTCCACCAGTACCAGTTGCGTAACAGCGGGCTTGCTCCCTGTAAAAGCCGAAAAGGATGAAACGACGAGGCTTTCTTTTTGTATCTGAGCTCGAATCTTAATCCCATGTGTATCTGAGCGCAAATCTTAAATCACGTGTTCATGATTTGTATCGATTGTTTTATACAGGGGACGCAGCAATATTTTCCACGGCCTGTAAAATCACTACATGGTCCAAGCGTAAGAAGGGCTGAGCTTTAGAGCCGCAGTGATCCACGGCGAGCCTGGAGTGGCAGAACAGGAGGCGACACCGTGCCGCATGCTGGTCAGAGGTGCTCCAGTAGGAAAACGCTCACTGGAATATCTTCTAAACATCTCTGGCTTGTTAAGCAAACGGGACACCGCAGATTTTAGTAAAAGTCTTACTTGAACAGACTCCATAGCCACTCTGGTTTTCACATTGAAGAAGTGGACAGGTTTCTTCCTTCTTGTGTGTTCAGAACTGGTTTACGTCTTTTACCACTTGGACGTATTATGAGACATGCTATGCCCAGTTGAAAACCTCGTGATGATACAGCTAAGAGGTACACCTGCGTGTGCACCCTATATGAGTCTTATGAAATAGTGATCGCTTAACCATCTGACCGTTCGTGAACTGCATTAATGTAGAACATTGAGGATTTTACCCAAGTGACAAAACAAACCCTCTTTGTCACTGGCGCAGCAGTAAGAGTGGATCAGTACAGTAGTGTAGTATTAGTGGAGCAGTGGTTAGGGTTCTGGATTTGAAACTTGAATTTTGTGGGTTATAAATACCACATAGGGCAATAGCATTGTGCTTTCTCACCTACAGCAGTAGTAATTAGTAATCCCATTACTGATAATATTACTAATATCTAGCAAAGTAGAACCATTAAGGTTTCCAGAATCAGCAGCTAAAAATAACTTTCCA